CCGCCAGGCGCAGCAGGCCCGCCTCGCCGCTCGCCTCGGCGTGCGCCTCGAAGCCGCAGGCCGCCGCGCAGGCCAGCAGCGCGTCCGGGCCGGGGCCGGCGGGGCCGGCGGCGTAGGCCACGCGTGCGCGCGCCAGGCCCAGGCTCACCTCAGCGTGCTGCACGCCGGGGACGGCGCGCAGCGCGCCCTCCAGCGCGGCCGAGCATGCCGCGCACGACATGCCCTCCACGCGCATCGTCAGCAGCTGGACGTCGGAGGCGGGGCCGGCGCGCGCGCCGGCCAGCGGGGTGTCGCTGAGCAGCTGGGCGGCGAACCCCGTGTCCACGACCGCGCCCACGATGGCGCTGGGGCGCATATGGGTGGGGTCGTAGACCACCTCGCCCCGTTCGCTCAGCAGGGCCACACTGGCGGAGGCCACGCCCGGCAGTGCGCTGTGTGCGAGGGTGTGGAGGTGGGCGTGTGAGGGAGCGGGGGCAAATTAGAGGAGAGGGAGGCAGGGTGTGCGGTCGGCAGTGGACTGCCCTGGTGGAGACGTAGCGCGGCACCTTTGATTTGCCTGGCTAGGCAGCGCACTCTGATGCACGTTCCCCGCCCCATGCATACGCCCTCCTCCCCTCTCCCCCCGCACCTGAGGGCCTTCTCCACGGCCGAGGAGCACGAGGAGCAGTGCATGCCCTGGATTGATACCTGTGTGGGGAGTGGGTGGGTGAAGGGTGAGTGGGTCGACACCCTACACCTGGGACCTGGACTCACAGGGTGGTGCTTTCGGGGCTCTCCGCGGTCCCAGCCTCGGCCTGCAGCAATGGCAACCACATTACACAATCAAGCGCCCATGAAGTCCAGCGCACCACTGCCTGGGAAAGCGCAGGACCGGCCTTGCGGGGCGAGCAAGAAGAGTCCCGCCCGACACCCGCTCCGGGCCGGCCGGCGAGGGGAACCAGCTCAGCCGCGTCAGCCGCATCCGAGGTGTGTTTCTTGTCCACAGAGCCCCTCAGCCAACCCAGGCGGGTGAGAGGGTCTGTCAGGTCCCAGTAGGCCATCGCCCACTCTGACGTCACCTTCTCCCAGTGTTTCGTGTGCAGGGTGGAAATGCCAGACTCACGCTGCCTTCCCTGCAGCAAACAAGCAAGGCATTGTAACCCAATACAGATAAACGCACTGACGTTTCGCCCCGTGCGCATAAAACCAACAGGGCATCGGCGACCCAAGGATACGCAAGGGCGTACGCAGTTCGAAGTCCCCGGCTTGTCCGTGTTGCGATCCCGCTTTCTTTCCGTGACAGGATCGGTCGCGAGCTGGCCGATGAGCTTCGTGAGTGATGAAAATACCGGCGAAAGGACTCAAGGCATATGTAACGGGCATTTTGCATTGTGAGGTACAAAAGAGCGGCGTATGGTAGGTTGCTGTGGCAGTCATGGCTGTCAACGCTGAGACTTTCACCGTCGCCAAGGTGCGCTTGGCCTGGCGCAGGTGTATCACGCCCATGCACCTGACCTAACAGAGCACCGAGCATCCGCTTCCACCCATTGCAGCTCTATCGGGACTGTTTGCGTATGGCAGATTGGATTGCAACCAAGGTGGGGTCCAAGGGATATACTTTCAAGTAGAGCCGTGGCCTCACAGAAACGGCAGGCATGCGGCATCTGCATTAGTCAAAGCCCGAATGTCATATTTTTGAGACACTTTACGTTGCAGAATGGCTCATCCGGCGCTGGCATGAGGGAGCAGATCAAGCAAGCCTTTGCCAAGAATAAGAACCTGACCGATGCTGTGGAGGTGAGGGGGGCTTTGTTGCAATGGATGCCCATGTTTGTCTTGATTTTTGATGAATGCAAACCTGCCTCGGGTCCATTTCATCACCAACGCTCGCAATTTCTCTCATTGCCCACAGATTGAGGCTGCCAAGGCTGAGTGAGTTTGGGTGGGGCACACTGTCCTGGGGTGCCCAGGACGACATCTTGGAACCTTGCGTTCTTTTCCTTGTCTCATACCCTAACCCTCAATTCTTCCACCCACAGTGCTCGTCGTGGACTGTCCAACCTGCTGTTCATGGAAGCTCAGCGCATGGCCAAGGTTGGGCTGTCCAGGGCTGGTTGTGATGTGGAGCTTCCACCCCTGTAAAGCCTTTGTTGCTGAAGTCTGACCCGATTGTCCTTTGGAGGTATCAATTTCCCATTCGCCAACTTCAACTCAAGGAAACCCCACCCCCGCCCCACTCCCAACCACCCGCAGGACCAGCAAGACAAGCACGACGGTTAGACACCTCCGTCCCCAGCCCCAGCTCTGCTCCAGCAGCATGGCGGTAACTAGAGCGTGCAGCAGCCCGCACAGGCCCGTGCTGCAGCAGCATGTTGTCCATAAACACCTTTCCAGCGGCATGCCCCTCCCCCCTCGCTGTCCCCTGTCGCGTTCTGGGGCGGCAAAGGCCCGCGTAGCTCCATCGAGATCCAGAGCCCTGGCGCCCGACAATTCGGAAGGCGAGGCTCAGAGTCCCCTCCCCGCCGACGTAGCGCGGCTCAGCCGCCTGGCCCAGGCGCTGTCCTCGCACGCATTCGACTCCTTGCTGCTGGATGAGGAGGAAATGGAGACGGAGGAGAGTCAGGGGGGGGATGACGCCGGCTCCTGGGACGATGGCGCGATGCTGGTCGAGCACGGCGCAGAGCCCGGCGACCTGTCCGTCCTCGATCCCGACGCCCCCGCGCCGTCCACCGCGCCGGTGTACAAATCGCGGCGCGCGGCGCGCCGGCGCGCCAGCGAGGCGCGCGAGGCGGCGCTGGGCGCGGGCTCGCGCTCAGGCGCCGCCCTGCCGCGCGTGGCCATCGTGGGCCGGCCCAACGTGGGCAAGTCCGCGCTGTTCAATCGCCTGGCAGGCTCCGACCTGGCCATCGTGCACGACGCGCCCGGGGTCACGCGCGACCGCCTCTACTGCCCCGCCAACTGGGGCGGCCGCGACTTTCTGCTGGCCGACACGGGGGGCCTGATGGCTGACGCCGCCGCGCTGCTAGCCCCCGAGCACCTGGCCGCGGCCGCGCGCTCCATCAGCGCCCCCGGCCTGCCCGCGGCCATCGAGCGCCAGGCCGCCGCGGCGGTGGCCGAGGCCGCCGCCGTCGTGCTGTGCGTGGACGGGCAGGAGGGCCCCACCGCCGGGGACGAGGAGATCGTGGCCTGGCTGAGGCGCACCTTCAACCGCCTCCCCGTCCTGCTGGCGGTGAACAAGTGCGAGGCGCCCGGGTCCGGCGACCTCCAGGCCGCTCAGTTCTGGGGCCTGGGCCTAGAGCCCATCCCCGTGTCGGCCATCTCGGGGACCGGGACGGGCGACCTGCTGGACGCCCTCGTGCGCCGCTTGCGGGAAGGGGAGGACGAGGATGAGGACGAGGAGGCGGGCGAAGCGGCCGCTGCCGTGGGCGGCGCCGCAGCGTCTGCCGCCCCGGGCACGCCCGCCGCGCCTGTGGCCGTGGCCATCATCGGCCGGCCCAACGTGGGGAAGAGTAGCATCTTGAACGCCCTCATCGGCCAGGTGGGTGTTTTTTTGTGTGGGGGGGGGGCCCGCAGAAGACAGTGGCGGCAGCGGGTGCAGAGCGAGGACTGGTGCCTGGACATCCCAGCATGCGTCTAACTCAAAACTCCATGCATGTCTGTGCTCAGGCCACTCAGCACACCGCAACCCACCCAGGACCGCTCAATCGTGAGCGACATGGCGGGGACCACGCGCGACGCCGTGGACACGGAGTTCACCGCCCCCGACGGCACTCGGTACACGCTGATCGACACCGCCGGGGTGCGGCGCCGCACGGCCGTCGCCGCCAGCCCCGACGGCGCGGAGGTGCGTGGTTCTGTTGGGTGCTTCCCGTTTTTGGGGGTGCACATGCTTTGCATCGCACTTGGAGATGCGAGGGCCATGGAGGATGGCTGCAGACTGAGGTTTGGAGCGATCTGATCAGAGCACGACCCATCCTAAGTACCCTCAAAACACCTCAACCCCCCACCCACCCCGCTCCTGCCCAATCTCTCTCAGACGCTGTCGGTGAACCGTGCGCTGCGCGCAGTGCGGCGCGCTGACGTGGCGGTGCTGGTCCTGGACGCCACGGAGGGCATCGCGCAGCAGGACTTCCGCCTGGCGGAGTACGTGGCGGCCGAGGGGCGGGCGTGCGTGATCGTGGTGAACAAGTGGGACGCCGTGGCTGGCAAGGGCGCCGCCAGCCTGGCTGAGTTCGAGACCAACGTCCGGGCGGAGGTGATTGGTGATGTGTCTGTGAAGTAGGGGGGCGGAGCTGGGGGGATCACTGGATGCCCAGAATGCTCTGCCTTGTGCTTCTGTCGTGGCGCTCGGGAGTCCCTCTTCTGAGACCCTACGCACCCTCCACAACCCACCATCATGCATGCACGCCCCCTCCATCGTTCTACTTGTTCCTCCCAGGCAACTCACCCCCCTTCCCTGAACCCACACACACTCGAACAGCTGCGGCCCGTGGAGTGGGCCAACATGGTGTTCTGCTCCGCCACCACGGGTCTGCGCATCCCCCGCATCCTGGACGCGGTGCGCGCGGCCTGCGCCGAGCACCGCCGCCGTGTCCCCACTGCCACGCTCAACATGGTGGTGCGTGATGCGGTGGCCTGGCGCGCGCCGCCCGCGCTGTCCAAGAACAAGCAGGCGCGCGTGTACTACGCCACGCAGACGGCGGTGGCACCGCCCACCTTCGTGCTCTTCACCAACGTGAACGAGAAGTTCCCCGAGGACTACAAGCGCTACATTCAGCGCCAGCTGCGTGAGCACATCGGCTTCCCCGGCAGCCCCCTGCGCGTCTACTGGCGCGGCAAGACGCCGCGCGGGGAGGAGGGCCCCAGGAAGGGGAGGAAGTGAGTTCCGGGCGTGGGTTGGAGGGAGAAGGGGCAGCGGCGGTGGCGGGGCGCGGCGCGGCTGACCTGAGAGCACGGACGGAGGGAGCACGGCGCCTTTGGCCCAACCAGGCGGGAGCCGCGTCGAGAGCCTTGCCCGTGCACCCGCATGCTCTGCGACTCTGCCACCCCCACCCCGTGCCTGCCTCGTGTCCGGTCAATTACATGTTTGCTCTGAGCACCACCGTCGGGGGTGCAGGGAGCGCATTGGGTGGTGTGGGTCAAGGGCAGGCATGTGGTACAGAGGGCGGCTGTTACCGAGTGCTGCTCTGAGAGCGGGAACTCCGGAGAGTCTGGGCAGGGCCCTCCTTGTGTGAACAGTGCCCTTCCACGGAGACATGTCGAGCAGGTCACCCGACCAGACTCCCCACACCCCGCCAGCTGTGCAAAACTTCTCTGCTTCGCCTGGCACTTCCTCACACCCTGGACAGCAGGACCCGGGCGCCGTCCTCGGACAGGCTGAACCCTGCGCCGCTGAAGGTGCTGCTGGCGAAGAAGGGCCCCAGCTCCAGGATGTCCAGGTCCTTGCACCGCTCCTCCAATTGCCTTTTTGTTTCGAAGGGGGGGGAGGGGGGGGGATGAAGGTGAGTGGCCTGCAACAGCTCAGGGGCTGAGCGGGGTGCCAGTTCATAGCTCCCCCCCCCTCGCAACAGAAACCACACCTGACGGGCACGGCAAAGTGCGCGGGGTCGGCCAGGGTGCCCGTGACGGCCTCGGCGCGACGCGCTTCGCGCAGGCACTCCTGCAGCTTGTACAGGATGAGCGCGTCGAAGTCGGCGCGGTCCACGATGTAGCGCCTGAACTTGCGGCGCAGGCTCTTCTGCACCGACAGCTTCTGGGTGGAGACGAAGGACTCCAGCATGACGCGGATGGCGGCGTCTATGTCGTCCCCCGTCACGTGGTCGCGCAGGTGCATGGCGGCGCGCGCCTCCGACATGCGCACCATGGACTCCAGGTGCCGCACCGCGATGGGCATGCCCTGCGTCAGCGCGCTCTCGCGCCGCAGGTCGGCGTACACCTGCGCGATCTTGTCGTGGTCGGCCAGCGCCAGGCGGGGGCGGCACGTCTGCTTCGCGTACGTCACGTACTTGCGCAGCATCTCCTGGGACAGCACCTCGCCGTCCCCCGCCGCGGCCTCGGGGCCGGCCTCCGGCGGCGCGTCGGGGTGGGAGCGCGCGTGGGAGGCCACCACGAAGCTGGCCAGCCGCTCGTCGTTCACCGCGTCCACCGTGTCCCGGATCACGCACAGGATGTCAAACCTGCAAACGGCGGGGAAAGAGGTGCAGGGTGAGTAGAACGGCGAGGAGGACGAGGGCGGAGGTGGGTTGTGTGTGTCGCAGGCCGCTGCCTGGACTCCATTGCCACGAGCTTGAGGGCCATGCAGCGGCGGCCAGCCAGCTGCAGGCCCAATCATGCTAGGCCCAGAAGATGGCACCTCACAACATCACCACCATTTCCCCCCTTTCTTCCCCCCCCCCACCCCCCAATCACCTGGACAGGATGGGGTCGGTGAGCTCGACGTTCTCGGAAAAGGTCTTGCTGGCGTCGTAGCGGCCGCCGACGGGGTTGGCGGCGGCGAGCACCGAGCACCGCGCCTGGAGCTGGGTCACGATCCCTGCCTTGCTGATGGAGATGGACTGCTGCTCCATGGCCTCGTGGATGGACACGCGGTCCGCGTCGTTCATCTTGTCGAACTCGTCGATCAGGCACACGCCCTGGCGTGTGTGTTGGAGTGGAGGGTCGGCATTTCAGGGCCTGGTCCAGGCAAAGCTGGGTCGGAGGGAGGATGTGGGTGGAGCCTGAGCTCCACATCCCCAGCGGCCTGCCTCTCGCCCATCCCTTCCCAGGTGGCCAGCCCCCCTTCCCCCTCCTTCTCCACCACCACCACCACCCCAAACCCTGACACCCTGAACCCCAAACCCCGACCCACCCGATCCGCCAGGACCAGGGCTCCGCCCTCCAGCGTCCACTCCCCCGTGATGGCGTCCTTGTGCACCGAGGCGGTGAGGCCCACCGCCGAGGCGCCCTTGCCCGTTGTGTAGACCGCGCGATGCGCGGCCTTCTCCACATACTTGAGAAACTGGGACTTGGCGGTGCCCGGGTCGCCCAGGAGCAGCATGTTGATGTCGCCGCGCAGTCGGTGTGTGGCGCTGGGGTGCTTCTCCTGGCCGCCGAACAGGGCCAGCGCCACGCCGTGCTTCACACCCTCGTGCCCGTAGATGGAGGGCGCGATGGATTTCACGATGCGCGCCGCGATGCGCGGGTCGCGCGCCAGCGCGCGCACCTCCGCGCGGTCCTCGTCGGTGAGGCGGGCGGCGGAGTAGAGCTCGCCGCGTCGCGCCAGGTGCACCGCCTCGATGGAGGTGGAGTAGACGGGGAAGCCGTGCCGCGCGTTCTGCCCCGCCTCGAAGCTGTGCTGGTAGATGCCGGTGACCACCACCTCCTCCCCAGGGCGCACACCGTCCACCAGGTCGGTCAGCAGGATGACCTCCTTGGAGCGGGGCAGGCGTCCTGCGGGCACCGAGCCGGGCGACTCCTGCAGCGTGATCTTCTGGTAGTTGCGGTACACCGTCTCGCGCACGTTGATCTGTGGGTGGTGGTGGTGGGGCAGGGGAGGGAGGGGTGACGGGAAGGGGGTGGGAAGGAATGGTACACGTGGGCTGTCTGAGGCATGGGCACGTGTGAGCCAGGACCAGAGACAGGGACTGGCTCTGGCATGGGTCGCTGGGCACGAGTACGCAGGGGCGGTTGACGGGTCGGTGGGCAGCGCGCGGTCAGGAGTGCGGGGCCCCTCGCCACCACAGGACGCCCCTCTTGCGCAGGAACCAACCGCTCGACAACCCCACCGCTGCAGCCCACCGAGAAGGGCCCCTTGCTCTCGCAGGAGGGGCAGGAGCCGAGTCGGATCTCGCGGTCCCCGGTCTGGATGTAGGGCCCCAGCACCGCGCCGCAGCGCGAGCAGTCGTACATAACGCGCTGGAGCTGGGGGTAGACCCCGGTGCGCCGCGTGACCACGCCGTCGACGCGCACCAGCGAGTTGAGGTGGAAGTGCCTGAGGGGCAAGGGGGGTTGTAAGAGAGGGGAGGATGGGAGGGTAGTGGAGAAGGCGAAAGGCGAAGGGGGCGGGCTGGGACGCAGGCGTGGGGCCTGGCAGGGGGCCTGGTTTGCAAAGAGGTGGGTTTGGGCTGACAACCCACGCTCGGGCCATCCAGTCTCCACCCAGATCCACGCAACAGGCACACGTGCATCAGCATCCTCCCACCAACCTGAGGTCGCGGATGGATTCCTCCAGGGGAATGTTGGCCAGGCGGACGTACACATTGGAGTGCGTGTCGCCAAAGTCCTCGAACTCGTCCAGGACCACCTGGGCGAGGCAGGCGCGGCAGAGGGAAATGGGTGAGGGAGGTAATCAGTAGGTGATGGCGAGGGAGGAGCGTGGAGGATGGGCTGCCACTCACGTGCAAGCCACCCCCTTAGCGCACCGAACAATATGACACTCCCAGCCGCCGGCAAATAACCTCAGCCCCGATGCCACCCACCCACCTCCTTGGCGGTCTCATCCAGGATGGGGAGGATGTCGCGCGGCATGTCTGCCACCCACACCGCCACCACCGGGAGCCCGTTGGCGAGGTCCACATAGTCCAGCTCCAGGCTCTGGCAGTTGGCTGTGATGTTGAGGGGGGGGAGTTTGGGTTGGGGTTAGGGGGACACTGACCCCGTGCTTTGAAAAGAGTACAAGTGACCAGCAAGGATGCCTCGGTCAGGGGCGGGCGACCAGGACAGGGTGGGACCCTAGCGTGCAGCCGACCTGGCGCCTCAAGCTGCGGCATGCAGCCCCATTGCTGTCTGCAAGCTGAACCCAGCACGCCCCCTCCCTGTCCCAGAAAACCCGCTCCGCCTCACGTACTTCTGACCATGGCGCGGAGGAGGGGCGGGTAGATGGGGTCGCCGCCCTCCTGCGCATACGTGCGGAGAAAGCGGGCAAAGCGCCGCTTTATCTCCCTGCGCACGTTGTCCTTAGCGATCCACTCCTTGATGGGGCCGCGCGTCTCCTCCAGATTGATCTCGTACTCACCCTGAAGCGAGGGGGGGGGGGGGGGTTCGAGTGGCCTGATATGCAGGCCCGAGGGCCCTGGCAGAGGAACCAGCCCAAGGGAAGTCGTGATGTGGGCAAGGATCAGCCTGGAGTTTTCAGAGTGCTCCCAAACCTACAACCCCCTCCCTCCTCTCTGCCCGCCGCCGCCCCACCTCGATGTCGTCCCCGGCCTGCGCCTCCTCGAGCCGGCGCCGTCGGCGCGGCCGATCCCCGTCGTCCACGTCCGATTCGTCCCCGGCCAGGGCGGCGATGAGGCCGCGGCGGTGGCCCGTCAGCCGCCCCTCCTGGCGGTCGCGCCGGGCGAGGGCGGCCTCCGCGGCGGCGCGCGCATCCATGCGGGCCTCCATGGTTGCGTCGTCGATGAACGCCGTGTCCAGGCCCTCCGTCTCGTACCGGTCCAGGTGCTCCATCGGCCGGTAGTCGCTGTGAGAAGGGGGAAGAGTGTGACGGGGGTCAGTAATATGTCACGGATGACACCGCCAGGCAGCCCAGGGGCCTGCTGCATCCAGCATGCGCATGTGTGCCTGCCACACTTCCCCTGCGCCTGCTCTAGCACCGTCGGCACTCACGCCTCAAAGTTGTCCATGAGGTCCTCCCCCTCCTCCTCGGAGTCCCCGCCGACCACAGAGGCAGAGTCCCCCTCGACCTCCGAGGCGCCCTCCTCAAACTCCCGCTCATCGCGATCGGCCTGCGGGGAATCGAGAGGGAAATCTGAGACCTCGGACATGTAGAGCCAGATCCGCGACCTGCATGCGAAGCCTGCGGAACCCACCATCTCTGCGCGAGCACACTGGCTGCAAGCTTGTGCGTACTGGAAGCCGACCACAGGCTCGAAGGGTCCCCGTTAACGCAGATACTGTGGATACTTTATAGGAGTATTGGCAGACGTTCCTCAGCACACGACTCCAGGCGATCCACCAAAAGGGAACTGGATGCGTGGTTTGGAATTTGAATTCCGGGCGCGAGGTGCAGTTGACGTGGCATTCGCCTCACGCCATCTCTTCGTGACGCCATATGCCGTATACGGAGGTGACTTGCTACCAAGCCGACGAATAGCCGGCCCCGGATGGTAACTATCTCAGAGGAAGGGATAAAGTCATTTCTAGCAGGGTTCTTGGGATCCACAGCCTGGAACTGGTAGCATTTTCTGCTCTGGGCAAAGGCATGGGACAGTGATCTGCAACTTGCATATGTTTTAGAGGTTACCATCGACCAGGACGTAGATGCAAGCTCTGTAACCCAGATGAATCATAGAAGCGTATGTTGGAGACAATATGCATAGCTTCAAGCAGCCAAGGAGTCTTCCTCCCCTTCACTGAATAGCTCCATAATCTGAACTTGTCAAAACTCTTACTTTCAGGAGTCTGTCAAATATCACATACAACCGATCAATACAAGTTGGGAGGATTCATTTCCGTCATGAAGTGGTGTTTATTAACACCAGATGGTGGGTTGATAGTTCGAGGCCTAGGCGCCTTACTTCATTCAAGCGCGCTCGCCACGGATGCGGCGGGCCAGCTGGATGTCCTTGGGCTGGATGGTCACGCGCTTGGCGTGGATGGCAGCCAGGTTGGTGTCCTCGAACAGGCCGACCAGGTAGGCCTCGGCGGCCTCCTGCAGGGCCAGCACGGCGGAGGACTGGAAGCGCAGGTCGGTCTTGAAGTCCTGGGCGATCTCGCGGACCAGGCGCTGGAAGGGCAGCTTGCGGATCAGCAGCTCCGTGGACTTCTGGTACTTGCGGATCTCGCGCAGGGCGACGGTTCCGGGCCTGTAGCGGTGAGGCTTCTTCACTCCTCCCGTCGCGGGGGCGGACTTGCGAGCGGCCTTGGTGGCCAGCTGCTTGCGCGGGGCCTTGCCACCGGTGGACTTACGGGCGGTCTGCTTGGTGCGAGCCATTGTTCTTGATGTGTTTTTATGTTGAAGGTTTTTGGAGGCTGGAAGATTTTGTGGGAGTGCGGTCCCGTCGCGTGGATTTATGCTGTCGCCCAGGGCTCAAAAGACACTTCCCGCCACCTCCGTTGTTACGGAGCACGTACCGATCTTGTAGGCCAAAACGGCCAAAACGGGCCATCGACTTGGTATGCAGAATGCGTGTCCAAGAATACATAAATCAGGCCCCGGTCGTCGAACTCAGCATCATTCTCACCATCTCCACACAGTCTCCCACCAGCAAATCAACCTCCTGCAACCATGTCTGGACGCGGCAAGGGCGGAAAGGGCCTGGGAAAGGGCGGTGCCAAGCGCCACAGGAAGGTGTTGCGCGATAACATCCAGGGCATCACCAAGCCCGCCATCCGTCGTCTGGCCCGCCGTGGCGGTGTCAAGCGCATCAGCGGCCTGATCTACGAGGAGACCCGCGGCGTGCTCAAGGTGTTCCTGGAGAACGTCGTGCGCGATGCCGTGACCTACACCGAGCACGCCCGCCGCAAGACCGTGACCGCCTTCGACGTGGTCTACGCCCTCAAGCGCCAGGGCCGCACCCTGTACGGCTTCGGCGCCTAAGCAAGCCACCTACCTTCCTATTGGTGTTTATTAACACCACCTCATTGCGAAAATTGGTCTGTACTCCAACCAGAATTACAGATAGCAGACGTCAGGGGAGCAAATATACTGTTTACCACTGTCACCCACTGAGAGGAATCGTCACCTCTGCTTGAGGATGCAACCGCCCTGGTGCATGCCTCTTGGGAATGGATGGAGAAGGACCTGTATTCAGAGTGAGATGCATCAATGAAACTGTTACTCCTCTCTAGGTGATCAGGAATTTGTCGGCGAGGTGCCCTAAGCACACGGTGCTGCATCTACTCCACCAAGTTTATCGTTGCCTCAAGGTAGAGATTTTGTCACAATGCCCTCTCACCACTGATGTCCGTGTCAGGATAGCTAACGTGGCTTGCCGACGGTGCCCTCACATTTCAGTAACCGATTGCAATTTCAAGCATTTTTCCCAGTGAAGGTGGTGTTGAATAACACCAGGTGGATTGTGTGGTGGAGGAGACGATTTACTCGTCCTTCTTGCCGGTCTTCTTGGGCAGGAGCACCGACTGGATGTTGGGGAGCACACCGCCCTCGGCGATGGTCACGCCGGCGAGCAGCTTGGACAGCTCCTCGTCGTTGCGGACCGCCAGCTGGATGTGGCGGGGCACGATGCGGGTCTTCTTGTTGTCGCGAGCGGCGTTGCCGGCCAGCTCGAGCACCTCGGCCGCCAGGTACTCCAGGACAGCTGCAAGGTACACGGGGGCACCGGCACCGATGCGCTCTGTGATTGGAGCGGAGGGGTAGGAGGGTCAATAACGGACAGCTTGCAAGTCTGTATCTCGGACAGAATGAACCAACGACACATGCACTCACCAGCGTAGCGGCCGTTCTTCAGGTAGCGGGCGATACGCCCGACCGGGAACTGCAGGCCCGCCTTGGAGGACTTGCTCACGGCCTTGCTGCCGGAGGTCTTTCCCTTTCCGCGTCCAGACATGATTGCAGACTTTTTGGTGTGTGGAGAGATTGAAGACTTTGGGATCGGGAGAATTTTGTGTTCTGGTTGGTCAATGTCCTTCGCCTTTATACTCCGAGCGCGTTGTTAATTTAAGGTCGCGCAGACCGATCCGGGGGGTCATTTCAAGTCCTGACGCACGGATAGGTGTGCAATGAGGTTGGTATATATCCT